GATGTATACACACACACACACACACAACACACACACACACACACACACAAGTGTGTTACTCTGCTTAGTTTTAGTAAAGTTTTTAAGGCGCTCGCAACTGTATATTAAGGTCATATGAGCGCCAGAAGATTAGAGGTGTTACAAGAGAGTAACAAACACAAAAAATTAGGAGGGAGATAAAGACGATAGACATTTGATAGGAAAGAAGAAGCAAACTACACCAGAGCACCCGCCAACAACCCACAATATCTTACTCTGAGCAAAGGTTTTGAACAGATGGAAGATAGAAAAAAACCAACCAGGAGAATGTAAGGTTTTCTAGAGAGCCTGGGCACACAATAGAGTAGTGGGGGGTTGGAGGGTGCTCTGGTGTGGTTTTCTCCTTCTTTCCCAACAAACGTCTATTGTCCTTATCTCCCATAGTTCTCTTTTGTGTTTGTTACTCTCTTGTAACACCTCTAATCTTCGGCCCTTATATGATCTAATTGTGTTGCAAGTGCTGTAAAACTCTTACTAAAAATTTTTTTAAAGACAAAAGTGTGGCGAACCATGATCGCATAAGTCATGTAAATTATCCAATCTAATATGACCATCAGTGTGTAATAAATTTTGTACGTTTGTACGTTATGAAAATGTGAAATGGTAAAAATCTCACCTCACTGAAACAGGTCTGGGCGTCCACGCTAGAGTTGGAATACTTGACCAGAGAGGTGACCAGGACAAACTGTGGAGGAGGAACACACAGAAGAGTCAACAATCATCATCATCATCATCATCATCATCATCATCATCATCATCATCATCATCATCATCATCATCATCATCATCATCATCATCATCACCCAGTGCCAGATCTGCAACAGACATCGGCGATCATGGTTCTCCATTCATTCCTTTGCTCGGATGCTCTAAACAAAAAAGCTACGTTTCCCTGGTCTTTCCCTGTTACCCATTTGTTTAGGTTCCCCAAGTAGATTGCTCTGGGTCTACCCCTGCCTCGTTCGCCTTCAATTTTGCCAGTGAGAGCTACATGTTCAAGACTCTTACGTCGATTCAGGTGTCCCAAAAAACTGCATTAGTCGTTTCCTGATGGTTTTTAACAAACAACGGCAGGTAAAAACGAATTCATATTACATAATGCAATGTTCAATTAGCAGTTGTTAATGCGTTTGTTTGGTGTATATGTCTCCCCTCTCTCTTTCCCACTCCCCCTCTCTCCCTCCCCTCTCTCCCTCCCCCTCTCTCCCTCCCCCTTCTCTCCTTCTCCCTCCCATATATCCCTCCCCTCTATCCCTCCCCTCCCCCTCCACCCTCCTTCACTCACATCTTTATCAATCTCCAGAGCTTTCTGTATACGACATGTGCACTCAGTTCTGAACATGTGCAGCCAGAAAACCACGGCCTCCTGGAACCAATCCTGGTAGTTTGGCACGCTCAACCGGAAGTAGTCCCTGCGGAGGAGGAAGAAAAAAAACAACCGACATCACATCACGTGATCTTTTTTCTTTAAGATTGAGTAGGTGTTTTAAGGCACTATTGACTAAATCTTGGTCATGTAAGTGCCAATCATGTGATCATGTGGCATTCACAACCAAACACTCTATCTCTAACGAGCTTGTTTCACACATATGAAATCGTCATCTGTGGTTGAATGTTAATGGAAAGGCCCTTTGCTATTGAAAAAAAACGAACAACAAACAAACACGCAACAAACAAACAAACAAACAAACAAACAAACAAACAAAAAAACAGCAAGTAAATAAGAGTTCAATGCCGGTATAAAATTTTTAAAAGTTGCTCCCGCATCCGATCCGGACATTAGGGATTGTCTTGTTAGTGAGACAACTTCCTGGGCCTTCGGCATTTTGTGTAGGGCCCGTGTAGAGAAGTTAATTTATTGGAATAGATCCACCTTCCTCATATGACGTATGACATTCTAACAAGGAGGTTATACCAGAGAGTTTTACTGTAATACAATGTTACTGTAAACCCTCTCTGGTTATACAGTTCGTTCGAAGGTCCTTGCATTCCAACTATCCCGGGTTGACTATGATAGAGAGATCGTCAATTAACCCTATCCGCACGTCGTGTTTTACTATCGTATCCATACGACGTGGGGAACTCTGTGCCACCACTTAACCCTATCCGTACGTCGTGTTTTACTATCGTATCCATACGACGTGGGGAACTCTGTGCCACCATTTTCCAAAGGGAAAATTTACTCGTTAATCCGATCCGTACGCTTTGCATAGCAGTCTTTCAAAATTATTTTTTTGAAAAATACTGAAAGTTTCAAAGAGATCTTCATACTAGAAGTATTTTAAAATGTGAAGAATACAACCACGGGTGTACAAAATGACCCCAGGGCGTACGGATAGTGTTAAACAGTCCGCCACTTAAAAATCTACATCTAGTGAAAAGCAAGATAGCCAGTCCAACAGTGGAACGAACAAACATGTCTTCTCTAATGGTTTGGAAAATAAAAACATCTGCACCATTCGTCTTGAATAATTTGTATGAAAAAGATGCGTAAACAAAAACATATTGAGAGAAAGAAAAGTAGACAGGCAGAAGTGGAAAGACAGACAGACAGACAGACAGACAGAGAGAGAGACAGAGAGAGAGACAGAGAGAGAGAGAGAGAGAGAGAGAGAGAG